GATGTATGTATGGATTGTGATAAGAGTTATATGGCCCCTAATAAAATGATTTTTTTAAAAAAGAAGGGGAGGAACCTGAAATTCACAGGGTCTCTTTTCAGTTCTAAATCTTTTATCATATCAATAGATTACAAAATTTGAAAACCTGTATAAAATTTTGATATGTGTAAGTGTGTGGTCTATTTTCATTTGTTTTGCTTAATTTAAGCAGTCTCTTTTGTCCTCTATAGTGTTTAAATATATATAATTCTATACTGACTAATAGCTAAAGCCTTTGCAAGTCTTATTTTATCAATTTTCCCTATAAGGCACTTAAAATCATGTAAGAGTACAAATTATTAATAACTAGGAGCTAAAGTAATGTACTTTATCGTTATATTATTGGTGTTCCTTAAATTTTATGGCACATCAAGGTACAAAAATAGTTTCAGAAATACTTTGTCATAAATAAATGAATTCTAGCTCCATTTGTTCATACACCCTGTGAAAATATCCATGGTGAGGGCATATAACCTCATCTAAGGAGTGGGAATCAGCAGCAGCTCCAGACTAATAGCCACGAGGTGGATGTCAAATATAACTCTATTCCCCAACCCAACCTTCTTATCTGCAGTACCCACGAGCAGTACCACCTAAGACACTCTTTACTTCTCTGTTGGGTCCAATAATTTGATCATATATTTTAATGTTACACAGAACAGAGACCATACTCATGTGAGTTTATTAAATAAATAAGTAGGTTACAATATAGGATCAGGAACTCTTTAGAATATAGTCCTTCAATTAGGGCAGTTTCTCAATCATCCTCACAAAAAGATTCTCTCCTCCCCACCCCCACCCTTGGGCAAGGGTAAAACTTTTTCAGCTCCATCAATAAGTGCCTGCTAGGCGCACCCCACTCTGCCATAAAACCTTGGCCCAAACGCACTCCATTCATTCAATCTAAGGATCAGCAAGTTCCACCAACAACTGTCCAGAGGCAGCCCACTCTGCCAGGAAACCTCTTACCTGAAGACTCCTAGCTTTCTTCTTCATGGATTGGTAAGCAAACTATAGCTAATTTGCCCTGTGCTATCTCATGCCAGTCTCTGGGTTCACTGCTACCATGTTTCTGCCACTACTTCTCATCATTAAGCATCATCTCCTGGGCCTATGAAGTTCCCAGTACAAGGACTGTGGGTCCAAAAGATACACTCTATTCCCATCTCTTCTCACCACTGAGATGTGCTTGTTAGGGTTTTATATATCTTATTTGCATAGCCACACTACCACAAAATATGTACCATATTTGCATTATTAAAAAGCTATCTAATCCACTTGGTGGGCCACAGCACCTTATAAGTATAGGTCCACTATATTTAGTGGAAGTTGCAAGATCATGGTGAGAACAACCATATAATTCTATTACACTGCCCCTTGAATATTACTCTGAAGAAATTTTATAATAGAGAAGTAAATATTTCTATGAATGAATAATACTGTACTCTCATGCTCCACAAAGACTGGTTTTCTATTTTTAAGTTGCTGTTGCTATCTATCTACGTGTTAAATGAATCCTTTAAGTAATAAAAAGAGAAAGGATAAATAAAGCTATTACTGGACACGATCTATTTAGAGTTTTAAAGAATAAGGATGTCACCCCGAGGACTAAGGTGTACCTGGTCCAAGTCATAGGATTTTCAATCACCTCATGTGCATTTGAAAGCTTAATCATGGATAATTAAGACCAAAATAGAAGTGATGCATTTGAATTGTGATGTTGGTGAAGAATACTCCAAGCACCATGAATTGCCAGAATAACCAACAAATCCCTCTTCGAGAAAGAATAGCCCGAATGCTCCTTAGCATTGAGTGTGGTGAGACTGTCTCATTCACTTTGGGTATAATATCAGGACAGACCCGTTACGTAGAAAAGGACATTATGCTTGGAATATGGTCAGTGAATTAAAAAAAAAAAA